AAAAAAAAAAAAAAAACCCATCTTAGTAAACTCCCATTCCTGGATGTTGGTTAGATTGTTTGAAGCTTTGCAAGTAAGCCTGCGGGTCTTCATTACCTGTGCCCTCCCTGACTGTGGAGTCCCCTGCCAGGCCACCTGAGGGGGCCACAGTTTCCAGGGGGGCTGACATCACAGACTAGAGCAAGTGGGTTTCTGCCTCTAAGTCCATGTTGGGGGCCAATAAACCACTCGATGGAAACGAAGTATACAGAGATCAGCTCCCCAACATTTTTTGCTTGTTCTTGTGTTTGCTTAAAATGAATTCTATGTGAAATTCATGGATCTGCAGCCCACTGAGAAGTGCAGTGAGGATAGATTTGTCTTTCAGTCTTAAAAAAGCCCACGATTTTGGGGAAGGTAATGGGGTGAGAAATGAAGTGAGAGGAGTGAGCAAGCACTCAGTAATGCTGCTGCTGTCATATGTGCTCCTGTCTTGTCACCCGGCCCACATCACAGAAGGCCATAAGCTCCACGCATTTTTGAATCTCCTGGGCAATATTCTCCAGTGCCTTGCACATAATTGATAGTCAATACGTATTTTCTGGGTAAAAGGATAATTTAACAAGTGAATGGTTTATTGATGCTGAAGGCCAAGTACTAGTCAGAGCTGAGTGGCATATTGATTAAAGTCTTGAGCCTTCTGACCAACCTAGACCTAGGGAGATGGGATCAAAGTCTGAGATATCTGTACTTGTGACATCCTCATGAAGCAAGGATCAAGGGATAAAGGAGAATAAACTACAGAGAAACGTGTTTTGGCTGAGTATAGCCAAAGGAAAGCATTTCTAATTGTTAGAGCAATCCTCAGAACGGACTGCTTTGACAGATTTAAATTACTGGTCAGTGGAGATATTCAAACATAGGCTAGATGATTACTCGTGGGTATAGATGTTGGTGTTCCAGTATCATTTGTGTTACACTACGTGATGTTGAAGGTCTCTTTTTACCCTTAGATGCCAGAGTTCTGTGATTTCATAAAAGTATGATCCTACGTAATGACTAAGCTCAGTTCAGCAAGTATTTGCCAAGCCCTTACACAGTGGCAGGCATTGCTTGGCATTGACATTAGGAAGACAAAGATGAATAAGATGGGCTACTGCCCTTTGCAGTTGGCTGGGGCATGGTTTTGGTAAGTCCTCCTGAGACCGGAATTTGGGTATCATAAACCTGGGCTCCTTCCTGCGAGTACACACATGGCGACTCAGGACTCTGGTTCTCTTCTTTCTAGGCTGGAATCGATGGGGAAAGCATTGGCAACTGTCCTTTCTCTCAGCGTCTCTTCATGATCCTTTGGCTGAAAGGAGTCGTGTTCAATGTCACCACTGTGGATCTGAAAAGGTAAAGGACATTGTATTAATGGGGACTATGTTTAGCTGCAGGAACAGAGCACCTTCCATGAAGCAGGGCAAAAGCCTTCCGTGTCTCATGGCGGCTCCTGCTCACACCTCCTTGTCTGGAATTGTATCGCAGGGCCCACCCCTAGTTGCAAGGGAGGCTGCAAAAGCGAGTATCTCACTCAGGGCCCAGCACTGCACTGCCCTGTTTAACAAGGTTGGATTCGCAAAGAAGAAGGAAGGACTGGCACTGGCTACGCAGCTAAGAACATCTGGCTCAGAGGTGGGCACAGACATCTACAAACAAAGGAGTTGGTCATTCCAGTAGCACTAGTGCCATCATCTGTGGGACTCCGGCAGGACTCCAGGCGTGTGAGTCTGAGTCTTGAGGGAGATGAGATCAGCCCACTTCCTATGCTATGTTCCCATCTTTAGAAGTCCTTAGTGTGAGGGTTCTAGATTATAGCCCTGGATAGAGAGTTACTACCATTCTGTTTTTAAAGTACAGTTTAACGGCTGTCAAAAACACCAGGCATCATTCAGTATTGGGAACCACACTCTCTCTCTCCTACAGAATGTGCTGTTTCCTCTCCTCTGCCTGTCCTTTAAATGTGGAATAGCCCAAAGCTCACCCTGGAGCATTAATCTTCTCACTCTACCTTCTTCCTGGTGAGCTGGGCATATTCTCCCTGTCATTGTGAATCATAAAAGAATTCTTTATGTGAATCCCAGAGCCCTGCTATCATCTAGATGGTTCCACTCAGATGTTCTCTTGTCACTTTAAAATCTATATGTCTAAAATTGCATCCACCATTTTTCCTGTGAGTGGAGCTTTCCTTGTGAATTCCTTTGTTCTTCCATTTTCTAGCCACTGAAATGTCTCCAGCTCCTTTCTCTTGCCACCTACATTGTTCTCTCTCTCTCTCTCTCCCTTTCTCTCCCCTCCATCCCCCAAACCATCCTTTTTTTAATCCTAAGGTTAGTCTTTCTAAAATAATGCTTTAATCAAGCAACTCCTCTGATCAGAAAACCTCCAATGCTTTCACTGTCCATGGAATAACTGCATCTAAAGCCCTCTTTTGTCTTTTCCCCGGTTCTTCCCAACACCGCCTGACAACACATCTCAGCGTGGCCTGTCCACCTCTGTCCTGCTGAGCTGCCTCCTGCTGCCCTTGTTCCTTGCAGCCTCCAGCCCTTGGCGAGGACACGTCCTCTGTCTAACACAGCCCTCTCTTCCTTCCTGTCCCTGCAGATGGCACCAGCCCCCAGGCTCAGTCTCAGCCCCATCCCTTCCCCACCCCAGGCCTCCCACCACTCTCAC